CTCCCATCACCACCTGCAGGAGACAACATGCTGACAGCTGTGAACGTGGCCAGGAGCTGCTGCATGGTGGGACCAAATGAGAGGGTTGTCTTCGTCACCGCTTCGCCACCCGGCCGTGACCAGCCTGCATCCCTCAAATTCATCCCTGCAGAGCTCTCACAGGGCGAAAAGCAGCCAGAGGTGAGCTGAGAAGCAATCCCAAAAACGTGTTGCTTCTCCAGAAGTATGCTGATGGGTTGCTCTGCCTGCTTGCAGGATGCACAGCAGTGGGATGGCTGCCTGCACCTGGCGCTGAATGGGAAATCCTTCGCCGTGCTTCAGGAGCATTTTGCTGACCTGCTGCCCAAGGTGCATCCCATCCCCATCCCCGTCCCCATCCCACCTGTGGGGTGTTGGTCACTGGGGCTGAGCCATCCCCTCCTTGCAGATTCTTGTCCGAGCCACTGTGTTTGCCCGCATGTCACCTGAGCAGAAGACTCAGCTGGTGTGCAGCCTGCAGGAGCTCGAGTGAGTGCCCCAGCCCTGAGGTCTGGGGGACAATGGGGACATGAGGCATTTCTTGGGCACTGGAGGCTTTCTCAGTGTGCTGATTGCATCCTGCCCTTTCCCCAAGCATCCTAAACACCTAGGCTTGAACTGGAAGTCCCCAAATCCCACTGTGTCAGTGTTACAAATCCACTTTTTCTTCTTCTCCCCCAGCTACTGCGTGGGGATGTGTGGGGATGGAGCCAATGACTGTGGGGCACTGAAGGCAGCTGATGTGGGCATTTCCCTTTCGGAGGCTGAAGCATCCGTGGCATCACCTTTCACCTCCTGCCATGCCAACATTGAGTGTGTGCCCACAGTTATCCGGTGAGAGGAGAACCCACAGGGGGTTCTCAGCACCTCCATCCCCTCTTTGGGTTTGTGGCAGGGCTGTGTTGCTGTGCTGATGGTGATTCTGCCTGCAGGGAGGGAAGGTGCTCGCTTGTCACCTCCTTTGGGGTCTTTAAATACATGGCTCTGTACAGCCTGGTGCAGTTTGTGTCCGTGTTGCTGCTCTACACGGTGAGTCCATCTGTCCTGGGGATGGGATGCATCAGCAGGGTGGTGGGAGGTGGGGGAGGACCGCTCTGCATCCATCAGCATGGATGGCCATGGGATGCCCGGGCTTTCCCTACTTCTGATTTTTATCACACCAAGTGACTCCATAGTTGAGAGCATTCCATTTCTCCTTCCCAGATCAACACCAACCTGAGTGATTTCCAGTTTCTCTTCTTCGACCTGATCATCACCACCACTGTGGCTGTGCTGATGGGCCGCACAGGTCCTGCCAGGGAGCTGGGAGTGCGCCGGCCCCAGGGGGCACTGATCAGCATCCCAGTGCTGGGCAGCCTGCTCCTGCAGACCGCTCTGCTCATCACTGTGCAAGTCCTCAGCTACTTCATCACTGTTTCACAGAGCTGGTACGGGACCTGGTGCTGTGGGTTTGACCATGGGGATGTCGTTGGCCAAAGTCAGCTTGGATGGTGCTGGCCAAAGCCGAGGGGATTTGGCATCAAAAGTCAACTTCAGTCACCACGCTGATCCTTTGTGTCTATTCTTTAGGTATGTGCCACTGAACAGCACAGTGACAGCTCCCCAAAACCTGCCCAACTATGAGAACACGGTCCTCTTCTGCATCACTGGTTTCCAGTACCTCATTTTGGCCGTTGCCATGTCCAAGGGGTACCCATTTCGGGAGCCGCTCTACACCAATGGTGAGGCCATGAGCAAGGGGAGACCCCCAGCCCTTCAGCCCCTGCCCCCAGCCCTTCAGCCCCTGCCCCCAGCCCTTCAGCTCCTGCCCCCAGCCCTTCAGCTCCTGCCCCAGCCCTCTCCCTTCTCGCCCTCAGTGCTCTTTCTGGTAGTCCTCGTGCTCCTCTTCGGCCTCTTGATATGGTTGACCCTGTACCCTCTGGGCTTCCCCAAAACCCTGCTGAAGCTGCAGGACATCGATGACTTGAATTTCAAGCTGCTGCTGTTGGGAATCGCCACGCTCAATTTCTTCGCTGCCTTTGTGCTGGAGGTGGGTAGCAAAGCATTGCACTCAGGGGAGTTTTAAGACCTCCATCCTCATGGATCTGTCCAAGAAACCCCCCGAAATTTGTTTTACTTATATCTTTACTGCAGACTGCACTGGACTACGGATTGCTGGGCTGCTTGCGTAAGCTGCGCCAGAAGAAAGCATCCAGCAAGCTATTCAAGAGGCTGGAGAAGGATCTGAGCCAGCAGCCATCCTGGCCGCCCCTTAACGAACCACTCTTTGCTACCCCTCGGATGTCCATCGCCGTGAGATAGCACACACCAAACTTCACTCCTCCCTGCTCTGCAGGGGAGCACCACACTCCTGTATTTATTTCTCCTGGTCCCACCGAGGGCAGCTGGTGCCTGGCTCCGTGTCCATCCCATGGGATGCAGCATGCAGATGAAGATGGTCCCATCTTCCCAATGGGGGGATCTTCAGCCTCACAGCCACGAAGCCATATGCTCCAGAAACCACACGTTTGGTCCTATGGCCCCAAAAGAAGTGGTGGGAGATGCTAGAGATGAGAACTCGGGGGTCCACCCGGGGGTGCCACCCACCTTCTGCCTCCAACACTATGCCCTTCTGGCTGGTCAAAGCTGTGAATTAAAGGCTCCTGCCTGTGCTGCTGGTGGTGGCACCCACTGTGGCCTCAGGGCTCTGCTCACTGTGAAGGAAACCTCCCTCCCTCCCTGCTGGCCACCTCGATGTGTAGGAAATGTTTACAAACCACTCCAGCTTGCCAAGGACGTTCTGAGCCAGCCGTCAGCAGCGAGGGGCTTGGAGCATCCAATGCAGAGCCCAAACCCTTATTGCACCTCATGCATTTTTGCCCTTTGGTCCGTCGGAGCAGCTGGAAGGGCATCCATCCACCCCCCCTTCCAGGTCAGTGGGAGGTTTTGGCATGAGATCTCAGCACGCTGGTGATGCTTCTGCATGGCCTTCCAGCTGTGCCAGCAGGAGCTTTTGTAGCATTAAAACCCCCTCAAATCTCTATTTTTATTTCTATTTTTAACTCCATTTCAGTGCGTAAAGGGGTGGAGCAGGGTGTACCACTTCTGGATTTCACATGGTTCTGGTGTGAGCACGTCTAATAAATTAATGCTATTTTCATGAGAACGCTGTGGAGCCCTGGGCAGGGGGATGGTGGAGGGAGGGCAGTGGGTCAGGGTGAGATTTGGGGTCATTTTCTTCTCCATTGGGGCTGTAGAAGCAGAGAGAACACAGGGATGGCACCAGTGGGATGTTGGAACAGGCAGGAGTTGACTTTGGCCAACGCCATCCCCAGTGTGTTTCCAGCTGGAATTTGCTAGCAAAGAAAAAAAAAAAAAAAAAGAGAGAAATTAAAAAATATATATATAATTGCTGGAAAAAAAAAAAAAAAAAAAAGCCAGGTGTCCTTGCCAAAATGTCTCTCCGTGCAAAACCGCTCATCGTGCAGCCTGTCTCCCTCCAGCACTGGTGTATGGAAGGCGAAGCCTGCAGCTGGAGGTGATGTGTCTGGCATTGGGAATGCCAATCTCTGCAGGTGGGGAAGGGGAAGGGGCAGCAGGGTTGGGGGCTTGGCTGTCTCCAAGCATGGGATGTGGCGAGGCGTGAGCCCCCTCGAGCACGAGCGGTGCCTCTCTGCCCTCCTGGAGCTAGGGATTAGGTCAGGAAATGAGGCACAAGCAGAGGTAAGAGGTTTCCTGAAATCCTAGCCAGGGCTTGAGCTATTAAAGCAGGCTTCCTGAGCAGAGGGCGGGGGGTGAGGGGGGGTGGGTGGGGGGGAGAAACCCGTCGAGAGTTTGCCTCGGTCCTTGCCAAGTGAAAGCGCCTGGTGGCTCGAAAAGCAAAAGGAGGGGGAAACAACACACTGCAGCCCCAATGCAACCCCCAAAGAAACCCATCCGTGCCCTCCCAGCATCGCTGACCCCACTGGCAACGTTGGGATTTGGAGCCACTCAGCACCGCCGTGGAGCTCCTAGGGGGGGGAAGGGGGGAACCCATGCTCCCAAATTCCCATTGGTGCGATGCTTCGCCCCCCCCCACACCCACCCACCTGGCTTTGGGGTTAACAGTGCTGTAAATCGTGCCTAATTATTAAGCTGATGCCCCGGGGACAAGGCTTGGAGGAGGCAGGAGTTCAGTGGGAGGTGTGCTCAGAACCTCAGGTTTAGCCACAATCCAGGTCTCAGGGTTGGAAAAACAGGCTTGGGGAGCGCCCTACACCCCCCCCAGTTTCTCTTTCTGGTCTGAAACTGGATTTTCTGCTTGTTTTTAGAGCAGCAGCAGCACTCAGAAAGGAGGAATAGCCCACAGGTATCCCCTTCCCCATTGAGAAATGACACTGACTCCCCCCCATGTCTGAGCTCCGAGCCCTCAGCTCCCCTCCACTCCATTCCATTGCTTTGAATCTCACCTACAATCTTTAGGTTTTGGCCCAGAGCACTGCAGCTGATGTTGCAGTGAGGTGGGGGTGAGCACAGAGCATGCATTCTTTGGTGTTCCCATCACCCTCCAGCAATGGGAGCATCCCATGTTGCCCTGCTGACAAAGGGGAAATGGG